TACATTCTCATTTGCATCAGGCACAAATCATTAACATCCAAAATTTACGAACTCGCTTTGGTGAGTTATGCTTGAACGTAGAAAAACATTTTTTTTATTTTTACATCACATTCCAAAACAACTTAAAATGTATTGGTACCTCAGAGGTAAAAAAATGTGTTAAGTCCATGGTATAAAGTGTCACGTTCGGTTAGTCGATTTTGATGAAAGCGTACAAAAACCTTAAATATGCTATTTCATTTTCGTACGACTTTTCGTATTTGAGGTAGACTATATACACACAGACACGCGCAAGCACACACAAACAGACCATTTTGCGGGACTTGGTTATTTGACTCAGGAGACCTCAAAACGTGTATTTCCGTTGAAAACTGAGAATTGAAAATTTTCACGATCGCAGTACTTTTCGTTACTATATATTTCATATATAGGTAAGTGAAAGTAAAAATAAAGCAGTCTTCTGCGATGCGCATCACACAACTCACTTAACTAGGTAAAAATAATAGACGGCACAACATATTAATTTAACCAAATTCATTAAAATACCGAAAATTGTTGTCTAAAAGAAATACACGAATGCTAAAAATAATTGCATGAAACCAGACAATTTAAAAAAAAAAATTATAAAATATAAAATTGTATCATTTGTAAAAATTCTAAGCTTTATCAATTACATCTACCACGAAACAAGTTACTAAAAAGTTAATTTTAGTTCATAGATATTATATTATATAAATATTCGTAGGTTCTCAACATTTTCCGTAAATGTTTTTTGAAAACTATGTATAAGAGAAATAAGTGAACAGTTAAACAACTAACAATAAATAACAATAGAAAAGTCGTAAGTAGTTTAAATGGAGGAGAATTGAGAAAAGTCGGGTAACCTCGGCTGTTTCTGAGTTCCCAAACAGTTCCAATCTATGTCTAAACATTATTTCTCCTTCAGTTAATTTAAATTCGTTCATAATTTATATTTACCAATTTGTTACTACTTGTTACATAGTGAAATGGCTATATATTTTAAATATACAAAATTAAAGGTACTTTAGAAAAATAAAGTTTGAAAATTCGGCATTTAAACCTAGTTATTAGAGTGCTACCATTGGGTAGTTACTCAGCAAGTGTATTCATGTCATTATATCAATTATGTCCAAATTTACTTGATGTATTTATGTATTACAGTTGTAAATGTCATAAAGAAATAAAAAAAAAAACAAAAAAAAACCTAGTTAGAATATTTTAATGAAGACAACATTTACATTATATAACTGAGAATTTGACCTCGCGCGGGCTCATTACCGCGTATGGGGAGCGTCCCACGGGTGGCGGATGTGGGGATGGTCGGTGGAAATTTCTTGGAAGTTCCTCCCGGCTAAGTCCGATGGACTCGCTGACCAACAATGAGAGGGGCCCTCCAGACTTGCTGGAGGGAGGGGACCTCCAGACTTGCTGGAGGTAGGGGCCCACCAGACTTGCTGGAGGGTGTGACGTAGGATTGAACGCCCTACTCACATATCTTTAGTTCACCAAACACCACAAAAAGTCATGGATCTCCCTAAGGTAAAACGCTCATTATCCGGAAGTAAACTAGTCCCCCGTTCGGGTCTCCGGGTGGGGACTGCTTTAGGGGATTCATGGCGCAAGTTGAAATATAGGGATTTAAATATTGGTACGTGGAACGTAAGGAGTTTAAACACAGCAGGGGGGCTAAAATCGGTCGCGAATGAGGTAAATGGGTACAATTTGGATGTCGTGGCTCTGCAAGAGGTTCGCTGGCCAGGGGAGGGCTCGATGAGGGAAGGGAAGTACACTATTTGGTACGGAGGAAGCGAGAATCATTGTTTAGGTACCGGGTTTCTAATTAGGCGTAGATTACTATCCGCTTTGAGGGACGTACAATTCTTTAGTGATAGAATTTCGGTAGCTACATTTCAGGGACGTTGGTTTAAAATCGCATTAATAAACATACATTGTCCGACCGAAGACAGTGACGATGAAGTCAAAAGTGAATTTTACGATAAACTCGAATGGGTTTATGATAAACTACCACGAAACTACATGAAAATAATTGTAGGTGACGCGAACGCAAAGGTAGGAATACTTGGACATCACCGGATTCGCAAACACGAAATCAAATCGATCATGTCTTGATACAACACAGCTGGCAAAGCAGTATAATTAATGTACGGTCTTATCGCGGAGCAGAATGTGGGTCGGATCATGAATTAGTAATCGCGAAACTTCGACAAAAACTTAATATAAAAAAGAGAAAAGAAAACTGTTTCGATTTTGAGAATTTTAATTTGGAAAAATTAAAAAATCCATCAATTAGAAACCGATTCGAGCTAGATGTTAAGAATAGGTTTGAAGCTTTAGAGCTTCCTGACGAGGACCACGAGGATATTGACAAGTTATGGATAGAGATCAGAGATAATATTAAAGCGGTCGGTAACTCGTGTCTAGGAAAAAAGGAAAATAAGAATAACAAACCGTGGTTTGATGAAGATTGCTCAAACATGTGTGAAAAAAGAAAAGCCGCTAAATTAAAAGCTCTAAATAATCCTAGCGAAGTCAATCTGGAATACTTCCGAATCTCAAAGAACGAAACGACAAAATTGCTCAAAAATAAAAAAAGGGAGTATCTTAAAAATAAAATAATTGAAATAGAAACTAATAGAATCGAAAATAACGTAAGAGACATGTACAAAGGTATAAACAGATCACGTAAATATGTAGGGCCCGTAACGTCTGGAATTAGGGATGATAATAACAATATTCTGACCGATCCGGCTGACATATTGAATAAGTTTAAGGACCACTTTGACAATATTTTAAATACGGGAAATTATGATCTGTGTCCTCCTTCTGAGTACCAGAGTGCTGAACCGTTAATCGACGGACCAAGTAAAGAGGAAGGTGAAGTAGCGATCGGAAAATTAAAATCATATAAAGCAGCGGGAATCGATAATATTCCTACTGAACTAATTAAGGCATGCGGAGAAGCTGGAGTTTCTAAAATACATCGGTTGGTTAAAAAGATCTGGGTGAACGAGAAATTACCTGAAGAATGGAAAGAATCTATTCTTATTCCGATTCACAAAAAGGGTCCGAGGACGGATTGTAATAACTATCGAGGAATTTCACTCCTTCCGGTATGTTATAAAATATTCACTTTAATCTTAACCAGTCGAATCACGGAATACGCCGAGGAAATTATCGGAGACTACCAATGCGGATTTAGACGGAATCGTTCGACTATTGATCAAATATTTTCTTTACGGCAAATATTAGAGAAAAAATTGGAGTATAACGGTATTGTTCACCAGCTGTATATAGATTTTAAAAAGGCTTACGATTCTATTGACCGCCAGAAACTGTATAATATTCTAATCGAGCAGGGGATTCCAAAAAAACTAGTAAATCTAGTCAGGATGTGCTTGACGGAGACACTCAATAAAGTTAGAATCGGTAATAATTTGTCCGAAAAATTTGAGGTTCGTTCGGGCTTAAAACAGGGGGATTCTCTTTCGCCTGTCCTGTTCAATTTGGCATTAGAACATGCCATTAGGGAGGTAATGCGAACCGAGAAAGGGTTGGATATGGGCGGGACAACATCCGTGCTGGGCTATGCTGATGATCTGGTACTGTTAAGCGAAGACGTTGAAACTATAAAACTAAATGCGACAACGTTAATGAAAGCCGGGGAAAAACTAGGACTCGAAATAAACGTATATAAAACAAAATATATGGTTAGCTGCAAAAATGGCGATACTACTTGTGATATCGATATAGATGGTAATATGTTTGAACAGGTAGATAAATTTAGGTATCTTGGTTCTACGATAACTAGAAAAAACGAAATTGAAGAAGAGATTAAGGTTAGACTGAAGGCGGGGAACGCTTGTTATTTTTCTGTGACAAAACTACTTAGTTCGCGCCTCTTGTCCCGAAACTTAAAAATTAGAATCTATAAAACAATTATCTTACCTACAGTTCTTTATGGATGCGAAACTTGGCCGCTTACATTAAGGGATGAGCAGCGTCTTAAGGTTTTTGAAAATAAAGTATTGCGTAGAATATTCGGACCGAAAAAGGATGAGTTAACCGGAGAGTTCAGACGGTTACACAACGCCGAATTGCGTGAGATGTATCCGGGTAATATAGTTGAGGTGATTTCGTCGCGGCGAATCAAATGGGCTTGTAAAGTTGTTGGGCTTAGTAACGAGAGAATTCCTAAAAGGTTAATATTTGCTGTGCCGAATGGTAAGCGTCCGAGGGGTAGACCGAAGCGAAGATGGGAAGATTGCATTAAAGCCGATCTGAAGGGACTGGGTTTGGACGGCGAACGGTGGAGGGAGGTGTGTAACAAGCGATTGGTGGTGTCGGCATCGAGCCTTCGGGTTCGCTAAGCCTTATTATTATTATAACTGAGAATTTGATTTTACATTGATATAACGAGTTGAATTAAAATCATGAGAGTTGTTTTCGAGAAAATTTTGAAAACTGAATTTTTAAAACAATAATCTATTACTAACCTCACTGCTCGAGTTTGTAAAAAGTTATTGCTTGAATTTCTTACTTCTAAAGAGGGAAAGAATATTGAAAATAGTTTAAGATATTTAGACATTTGAAAAAAAATTATCTTTTAGAAAAAAATTTAAAGGTTCTATCCTTATACTTATTTTCATTAGAATCATTTTATAGGAATGTTATTGTATTAAAAGTAGTTGCAATATATATATATATATATATATATATATATATATATATATATATAAATATATATGTGATTCAAAAGTAATGCTATATTTTGTGTAATTAATCAAATATAATTTTAGTGAACTTTTTAGACTATTAATTCTATAACATTTCTTATAGTTATTTATCAACATGGAATTTAAGTTAGTTAAAATGCTATCACATACTAACAAATGTAATGCAATCTGATAAGATAATATTTGCAAGATCTGTTTTGCCTCTGGAGCCCGGTGTCGCAGCTGATGAGATGTCAGCCTATTGTCTTGTACCATTGTTTCAGTTCCTCCGAACAACCACTCCCACGATCCATGAACCTCCAGAACAATGGTCTCGCGTCTCATTGGACGTTGAGGCAACCAAACCAAAAATTTCTCAATCCTAGCCGGAATTTAAAGTAAGGACCATAACTTAGGGCCAAATTCTCTTAGTGAGTGTAAAACACATCCGGACAAAAAGGACGCGAAACACTGGGCATAACATAAATTAAAAAAGAAGATAAATTAAATAATAAAATGTCTCCTGGCACTCTTTGGTATGATGAGTTCACCCACTGATACTTTTTAGAGAATTCAAAGTTATAACTTTTTTTTTTTATAAATTTACAGTGTTGAAAGTAATATAACATGGAAGTAAAAGGAACAGAAATATCCTAATGTAATATGTAAATTAAGCTTAGCTATAGTAATTAGTAGATTCTATATTATCATCGACCAAAGCCAAAGAAGTACTATAAAGGCAGATGTTTGATACTTATAATACTGCTTCTCTCAGTCAGGTGCTTTTAGGAAATAATTATCAGGATACATATTTAGGAGATTATAAACGAGAAATTGGGAATACAAAAAATACAAAAAAGTAATTCAGTTGTTGTTCAGTATCCAGGATTGCTCAAACCTCTTTTTCTTCTGGATCCTGCTAATGTTCATTCAAGCTTCGGCAAAGTAACATCTGCCGTAAAGAAGGTGTAAACTAAATAACATGCAAAACGTCATTATAGGATGCTATCGGTTACAATAATCAATAATGCTTTATAATCCGATTTGTCAGTACTAACGTTTGTTTAACAAACATTCACTCAAACCAAACGGTGGTTTGTAGGCCATTCAAGCCAAACAGAGGGAATACCGGTTGCTGCATAATACGTTTTAACAAGCAGCATTATCGGCAGCAGAAACAAACATGTGAAGATAGATGTGAATTTTCAGTTCATCAACTAGAACTATCACTCCTCTCCTCCCTCGTTGGTCGAGGTAGTGGGGTAAACGAAAAAAAAAAAGGTTCATGGTCATCTAATCATAGCATTGCTGAAGTTTGGATCAACTCCCAACTGCTAGTATTTTGGAAAAGCAAGGGTTGAAAGCATGAAGATACAGAGTATGGTGGAGTCCATTATTATCATACTATTTAGTTATTACTTTGACTTTATTTTGTTCTTACTTTCTGAAAATATAGTTTGAATGTACTCTTTTTTCATAATAACTATTGTCCTTTATTGTGACATGATGTACTAATAAATAAAACAGTTTTCAAATCGAAAGAAATACATTCTAATAAAATTTATAGGTTTATATTCATCATATGAATATATTAAAAAAAAATGTATCATTCGCCCAATAGTCAAAGATTATACTACTCCAGAGATAAAACGCAAAAGATTCAGAAGAGATCAATCAGTCATCTCAATCCAGAACTAGAGGACCCCACTGCTTGGCCAACAAATTGGTATTCCGTCAAACAATCTAAGAATTCCGTTGTGTCTCATTGCCGTGACAAGAATAGAATGCTTGAATTCCCCAGGGTGCGCTCGCTCATCCTATTCTGGATCAAGATATTTAACCGATCTTCTTCATCTCTTATAAAGATACATTTTCAATGTTTATTCAATATTACTTTTCTGTTTCTCTCATTATATAATATTCTTAAATGAAATTGGATAGTATCTATCAGAAACCTTTAAAATAAAAATAATCAGCTTACCTTCTCAAGCTCGCTGAGCACGAGCGGTGGAGGAGAGGACGTCATCTCCTTCCCTTGGCAGAACTTTTACTACCGCATCACAATCTGAAAAAAAAAGAAGTAAGATTCAATAAATAACTTAATAAAACATTTGCGATTCAGGAAACATTAAATAAAAAAAAAAGGTATAGGGTATAGTCAAAGGTATAGCGAGCAGAAGAATTGATGTATAACTGACAAAACCAAAAACAACTGGCCAGAAGATTGAAGTTAAAATCTTTATGAGTTCTTCGAAAGCTAATGGTATCTTAAACTTTCAATCTATAATAATTATTTTAGATGATATGGAAATCTAGTTAATAACCTTATTTGTTTCTAACAGAATAGGAAGGACGCAATATTTAACTTCTAACAATTTATCCATCTAGATAAATGTATCGATGTTTAAGAAATAGATACCTTTTATCTGTAAGACGACTACACAGTAAGAATAAGAGCTATTAAAAAACGCAATTATTAATCTTCAAAATATCTTTTTTTTTTATCATCTTTTTCACTTTCTCTTTTTTCTGCTAGCGATAATACGAGTGATTTTAACTAAATATTTTTTAAGTTGATTTGGAAATCTAGCTTTAGAAAGCATTCCATTTCAATTCCATTTAGTTTCTCTCTATTTTTATTTATTTATTTATTTTTTTTTTTACCTATGTATGTTAATTTTCTTATTTTACTTTCCACAACTCTTTTTCTTTTATCTCTATTTTGGTTATCATTTGTATTGTGTGAATGTTTAATGTAGCCCTAATATTAATGCCCTCAAATGCGACAGAATATATTAATTTTCAAAAAAAAGAAGAAAAAAAAGAAAACATTCCAAAATAATCTTAATATTCTGAGAATCACGCCTAGTGGTCATACCTTTTTTCATCGATCATTTTTCCCAAACAATAAAAAATCACGTATACAATCATAATAATAAGTTTTGAGTGATCTAAAAAAAATTCTCAAAAATGTTTCCAGCCTCTAAATTAGCATACTTAACGAGAGAGCCCAGCTACTCGCGAGGAATTCACGATTACTTTCGAAATACAACTAGCCAGACCTGTTCCACAGAAAATAAATAATAAAAACTTGTTTTCCGTAAATAAAGATCTGATATTTCGTCGTCTCCAGCGGAAGTTGCACGTCTTGCGGACGGTCCTCGAAAGGAGATGCGGTGAGGAATATGAAGTAGAAAACAAACCCACAACGCCATCCATAATTTCCGGCCTGACCTTTCGTGGAGTACTGAGCCAAAGTCTTCAGCGTCACAAGAAAACAGATCCCAGTTGTTTCGAAAGTCAAATCCAAACTTTCATTCTTGCGTAAGGCTCTATTAACGAGCTCTGGCGACATGAAATATTTAGGAACAAAACAAAACATTCGTATAATTAATTACATATATTAAACTCAACACTTATATTATTCATTTGAATCATTTATGCTTAACTAATTAATTAAAAGCCCGATATCGAACAGCAATAACTCACAATTAGCCTCAGTTTAGGACAGTGCACAATACGATAGATTGCTTATTAGTTCCAAATCGGAAAATCTTTTTCTTTTTTTTTTTTTTTAGTCTTCAATTCTTCATCCACACCTGTCATGATAGTGATAATTAACATATTTGTTGTTAGGTAGAAAATGGCATGATAGGCATGACGAAGAATGGAACTTAGCAGCACCTCTTCCCTGGTCTGTTTGCATCCTAAAATCAGGAAAGGAGATCTCTCATCCAGCTCCTTTTCTGTCACCTCCAGATGAGCATTTCAGCCGTGGTCATGTCGTTGATAAGTCCATGTCCGTGTAGTTTAAGATGAAATCAGGAGTAGAGAGTACGTTTGTGCTGGTCAATGGTTGCTTGTCTTAGGTCGGTATGTAAAGTCTTGTTGTTGACATACCGGAGGGCTGCAGTTATTATTCTTAAAATTTTAGATTGAAAAGACTGTAGTTTTTGTAAGTGAGTCTTTTCAGCTGAACCGTAAATCAGTGAGGCATATGTCCAAATGGGTTTGAGCAGGTAAGTGTATGTATTTAGTTTTTGTCTAATTTTCAATTTTGATTTAGAGAAAAGTGAGTATAGTATTTTCAGTCGCTTTTTCAAAGTCGTTCTTTCATTTTGACGTGTGGGCTTTATTGGGACAATATAAATCAAGACATTAGACAAAATATTTTATTATAAAAATTTCGTTTTGGCCGAAACATATGGATCATCTTCAGAGTAAGCAGTAAATTCGTCGAGAAATTCAAGAAATTGTCCCTTTTTCTACAATTTCTCAAAGAATTCACTTTAAAGTCAACTAAAATGATTAAATATTTTTAACTTACTCACATATTATTTATTATCCAAGACAAGGCTTCATACATCCAAGAACTTAAAATCTCTTAAATTAGTTCGATGATTTAGAGAATCCTTTGGGATACTTTCTTCTAGTCAACAGCGATCAGAACTTGAATTTATGGTCATAAGATGGCAGACAGGTGTGGAAACAGATAGCTACCTGGCCCGACCACAAAAAGCTGGGATCCAGATCCATTATGGCGACGGGGAAGCACAACTGTCGCTATTCAACTTTCACTCTCTCGACAAGTTGCGACAAGCTGTGAGGTGGAATTGGTAATTTGTAACATTAGGTGAGGGATAAGAAGTCGTAAATCAGTCTGTTTACCACTTCTCAATCTGATCGCTCTAAAGGGATCTCGCTCGTTTTATTTCATTTCATCACACCGGATTGAGGTTAAGCAAAGCCGAAGAGTAGAGTAGTACTGCGAATTCTAACGCACGGTACTGCAAAATCATTCATGTTGATTAAAATATAGCAGATTAATCTAAATCACTCCAGTTCAGGTTTTTTAAAAGGATTTGCTGTCCGTCCCTAGGGAGAGCGCAAGTACGGTATAACTTCAAAGGAGCCAATTAAAGGAAGCTTGAAGAACTAGATGATTGTATTGGAGTAGCCATAAATCAAGTTCAATACGCACAACCTGTCAAGTTTCTTGAGGCTTTCAGAGATTGTGGAGGTTCGTTATATTAGCTGGCCCCGGTTTCCGGTAGCTTCGGCAGACAAACTTTTTTAGTCCCTTCAAGCATAGTAAAACCGTACCCATTCAAGCTCATTTATAATTAATTTTAAACCCACAAATTCATCTTAATACAATGTTTAATTTAAAGACACAGACTTGCCGAATACATTTGTTTTTAAGTAATATTTTTTGTATCTGTAGTCTGATACCACTGATATGACTACCATATATAAGTATCAGTTACATTTCACGGTATATTATTAGTTTCAAATCTATTTTAAATTTATTTGGTTTCATGGTATTTTCAAGCGCTCAGCAATAATTTGTATAAAATTAACATTACTTCTGGACCTCATCTGTGACAGTATGCCTATTCTATGGTAAACAACGGAATATTATGGGCCTTTCTGACTGCTTTAAATTTTATGATTTGTAGAATATTACTGAAAATTAAATAATTGCAAGCAAATCATGGTGAAAAGTTATTTTGCCGTTTCTCAGATTTTAACCTCTTTATATTCGCACCTCGAATTCTGCTGTCTCTCAGAAACAAATGCTTTGGATGTGTCCAGTATGGCCCTTTTTAAATCGATGCCTATATATAATGGTGGAATTTATATTATAATTTAACATTACAATAGTTCATTATAGTTTTAAAATAAAAAGAATACTTGGACATAAATATAAAGAATATTTGGCCGGTGCCAATAATTCGCAGAAAATTTTGTTTAGTACAGAAATAACAAAACAATATAGAAATAAGTAGATCCGATGTATAATGCAAGGAAGGAATTAATATTTTTTCCTTGGTCGATTACAATATTCCATTTAACATAATAGACCAAAATATTTGTACAAATTCCTTTGCTACGACCCATTTTTAAAAACTTACTGGAAAGATAATAAAGGTAATAAAGTCTCGATCATAGGATTTTCTAAATTATTTAAAAAAATAAAACATAAGAACAAACAAATGCCTTCAAGAAATAATAAAGCATATATCAGCTAGGAAAAAAAATTGTAGCAGATAAGTAAATTCTGTATTTTTATCAAATATTTCGCATTTGATGGAGAAGAATATCTTCAAAATGAGTGGTCAATCATTGGATTTGATGAAGAATTGACAAAGTTATGGCGTACCGACAAAACAAACACCTTTTAGATATAATATATAGAATGTTCATAGGAGATTCCATTCATTCACTGAAATTAATGGCAAATGTTATAATTTGTAAATCGATTGAATCTATATCATATTGTGAGTGACTACATTATAAAGCACTCTATGCAATTCGGAAACAATTATAGATGCAGCGCACTTAAATTTATAATCTTGATTATTGAACGTAAGAGATATAGCACCGTCAAATTCGGAATGATACCGGGTTACAAGATCACAAATGTATAGCGATGACAGTAATCACACTTATGTGTGCAGCCATTGTAGCGTCACCGAAGCCATTTTCATTCGTGTAATCTATATGACGGCATTACACTTATCGTCATGATAGGACTATCACACTATCATATTTTGCTTGATAGTTGACAGCACTTAAATACTTTTCTTTGCGAGAGCTACACCTTAATGGCGAATGGGAATTGAAGTATAGCATCAAAAAATAAATAATAATAGCGAATTGGAAGTATACAGGCAACGTTGAACGGAAAAGCTACAAACGTCAGGAACTGATTTTATGAAGCATATTGTCATCGTTATATAACATAATGAAGTAGAAGCGGTAGACAGCTATATTTTGCCTAGTAAGGGTCACCAAAAACGGTTATGCCAAGGTTAGACTGCTTTCTCCAGTGACTAGCTTTCATTGACAACATACTTCTCTCGATATCACCTGCCATGAAATGTGCTGTATAATATAATTATTCTATAGCCACTAGACGATATATAACTAGGTAGAGAGTTGCAGCGTTAGAGCGGATAGACTTGTTGAGGAGGGTCTGATAAGCATCTAGGTTTCATCAAATATTATAGTTGTTGTTTAGGGCTTAGAAGCGTAAAACCCCGAGGTCATCAACGCCTATATGATATATTGTAAGCGTCATCGTAACATTATAATTGGGTAATATAGTTAGACATCATTTACATCAAGAGTATTAGATAGATTCATATTTAATAAATTTATATGGAACAATTTTTAAATAACCATGGCAATGAGAATTTCAATAATGACATAAGTCCTCTCCAAAGAAGATACAATTCCGAAAATTGAGACTGGCACAAGTTATTCATTTTAAAATTTAATATTATTAGTATAATTTGTCTTGACCACAGACGGAAAAAATTGGAATCAATGATTACATGATCGTAATTAAAAATTAAACTTAATGACCACGCCAATTTTACTTGATTCGATAGCACTATAAATATAGCAAAATGTGACACAATTAATAATAACTACCATAATCAGAAACCTGATCACTGTACTGACGTAATCAAAATCACTGTAATCGTAATCACGTAACCATAATTACTGTAATAGTTATCATTGATTATGATTATGCACATCTATGGCCTTGACCATTATGGCCATTTCTAATACTTCTTCTGCGATAGAAAACCTTTATTCTTAAGAATCAACATTTCTTCTGTGTCCTGAATTTTTAACGAGTAATATTTTTAATTAGTCCCTCATTGTAGTTGACATTCTTCATATTTTTGACGCTCTTGGATTGTATACTTTAACGGCTTTTGAACTACATTCACATATTAGCGACATATTTACTATTAGCGACACATATTGTTTATTTAATTCACAATACCGGATTTTGATTCAGCTAAGTACTGCTTAATTTTTTTTCGATGACCAGTTGAATATTCGCCGTTAAATCATTATGGTAATTCATTTTCTTAACATATGAAATGAAAATATATCAGTTATTGTGCTTATTGTGGAATTAAGACATTTTATTTTTATTAAAATCTTGGAGTGACGAAGTGACTGAGAATTACAAGTTTGGTAACACCTAAAATTTCCTTGGTCCAATTCTCATTTTTTTTCAAAGATGAGCAGATGAATACCGAGTACCAAGTATTTTGCTCAAATTAATCACTATTGGAAATTCATTTACTATTTCAGTTAATCTTTTAACATCAACTGAAGTAATAATTAAATTCGTTGGTTCTCTAAAACGGCTAGTATTTGTATTAGTATCTCACAGAGTAGCATTTACCCATCTCTGAATACAGTATTTCATAATCTGTCAGGTTGAAGAAGATGAGGATTTTTAGAGTGTTGATGTCTAGTTTGTCAACTGCCAAGAAACTTATTGGAGTAAGCATTCTATAAACACTATTCTAAATCTAACGTTTGAGCATGGTTTATAGGAACAATTCTTCTTTTAATTTCATCTGGTCAAAAAGTTGCTTTTCCATTCTTTTTCGAATTATTATATACAAGTAGCAAATTACAAAGTAGCTTATTTGAAATTTAGTTAGTATTAAAATAAACCAGTATTAAATTTTTAAAAAAAAATCTGGAAATTACAATGGCCATTGCTTAAGTTTTTTAACCAGAGCAAATTATCTAAAATTAAGATTAACCAAACCAAATGAACCAATAAAAAGCCAGCTCAATCTAAAAAAAACGTAGAATCAGGTGACAAATTTAAGCAAATAAGTAGACTATTTAATTAATTGACTGACCTTTCAGTAGAAGTCATCGATACTTTAACCACGCTCAAGTTTCATCACAGCTACCTTACGCCATGCTACTCAACATTTAACATTCTTACCGCAGAGACCCGGTTAGGGTGACATTTAAAGCTAAATCAGCTTTTACTCTCCAAATTATAATAAAATATATATGCGAATTATATATCACTATAAATATAATAATAAGCGGATTCGTCCAATAGTAAGATTCTACCTCTGTTCAGAAAAATTTTGGTATGGAATTAAATAAATACCAGAATTTAAAGAGACAATAATATAGATTGTCTGGAGTATTAATTACTACGCCCTACGCCAACGATAAAATTTTAAAAATAAACCACTAGCTCATTGAATTTACTAATTTAATCATGAAATATTACAAAAAAAGTACACTTGGACAAGGAATGTGTCCTCCAGTTTGTAAGTACCAAAACGAAAACCAAATTCTACTGGCACACAAAATAAGTTTGGTTAATTGCGACTTAAGGATGACTAGGGGCTCACGCGTTAAATTGAAAGGAAAGAATGACATACTATATTCTCGTCTTTCCAAATATAATTAAGTCTAATAGCAAATTGGACAGAAACTAAATACAAACACATACCTTCTAGATAGAGGAATGCCAACATTTATTTCGCAGGCACGAAATAAATTGTGACCGACACAGATGGGAATCGAGCCCCCATCTGAATGCCCTATGAACCTTGCCCCAACGTTACAGCCACTTCTTGACCATTTAATTGGATTTGTCTTGAAAGTTTACCAATCCAAAAGCTAACAGGTTTATAATTCAAGAAAGTTGCAGCAAGTCATTCACGACCTAAGTCAAATGAAAAAAATGATACGAAATATTTATTTATTTTTTGCTTTTCCAGTCCTTTGCTAGGTTTCTTAAAACCAATAAATATATATAGTAAGTTGGTGTA